ACGGTTGACCGTGACCACCCGGCCACTATCCGATACGGTCGAAATACTTCTAAAAATAAAGAGCCATCGGCTCCGGGCAGGGTACCGAAAAAGACCCTACATTTTCCCAGTTTCGTGGGTCGAAAGTTAGAGGCTCAAGGTGGAGTACCTCAACCAAACCCCTGTCCCCGGTCTGGGCAACCGGGAAGTATCAATTGTCCACAGAGTTCTGTGTCCACCGATGTCCTTTCCCAACCCATTTTTACCACACAGGTACACGTTGTTGGGTCAATTAACTATCAGTCATCTGGCCATAGGCCCGCTGTCTATTAAAAATAAACAAAATAACATCCTTCTAAATCCATGAGATCGTTTCTAACTAGGAGCTTTTAACGTCCGTACTCTATATCGAATTGGCAAACAGGCAATGCTTGCTGAAACTTTGTACTGCCTTAAAAGCGATGTAAGCTGTCTCCGAAACACGCATACAAGACCCGAGCGTGGTTATGCCTCTCAGAACGCCAACGATTAACTCAGCTCTTTCACACTTCTCCCTCCGTGTCCGGTGACCCAGAAGCGATGACTCCTGGAATATATAGCGTAGGGTTTGCACTCAGCCCCAGAGGTGAACGCGCTTTGCTGGATTGGATACCAGTGAACAATCTTTGCGCCGTCCGGTTATCCATTTCAATCAAGCTCAATGCCTGTCAGCATAAAAAGCGGTGCCTGTTTGTAGTGTCGGCTTATGCCCCAACGGACTGCAGTTCTTATGCTGATAAGGATGCTTTCTATCGAGATCTATCCAGGTTAATGCGTCGAGCAAGAAGCACTGACATTGTGACCCTTGTGGGCGATATGAATGTCCAAGTCTGTCGTCTGAGCTCCTTGGAACCACATTTGGCTGGTCGATCCGGAGTAGATGCATGTCACAGAGAAAACGCAGAGCGACTCCTCCAGTTGTGTGCTGCTCATAAACTGTTTTTGGCCAGTACCAACTTTCAGCATAGACGCTCACATCACTTAACCGGACGGCCACCAACTGCAAATCAACCGTTGGATCAGCTATCGGTTCATTTACCAAGCGGATGGGGAAATGATCCAATGTTGTCAATAAGAAGCATCTTGAGATGTCGTCAGGTTGAAACTCAGTTAGATTATATGAAGCTATTGAAGAAGCCTGTCGTCACCTGACTGGAAGGTGAATGGCCTCCATCCCGCGCAAGTACGCTTCTATGACACTGCTGCCCAGCCATTCCAGTCATTCCTGAGATGTGTATCGGTAGTAATTCCAAACGGCTGTGCAATGCTTCTCGGCTTTCCTGAATACATTTGTTTCTTACACTATGGTGTCCCAATTAAGCAGAAATGAGTGGCGAAATTATCGTTGACATTGTTCGGCAGCCGTACGCCGCAGCGAGCCATGCACAGAGAAGGTCGAGGATCTGGACAGTTAAAAACTGTGCGTTCAAACAATTGTTTGTAGCAACTACTTCAAGGAGTTTTTGGTTCAAGGATGGTTGATTTAGCTCATTCATGAAAAGGTTAGACAGAAGGACCTGTTACAGACCACTCTAAAAGTATCCTTAGTGTTCGAGCTGAGTGGTCAGATTTTTGCAAACAGGGTAAATCAGTAGCCACATTTTTTCAAAAATACAGCTACTTGCCCTTCAGATATTACCCGAGCAGCCGTTTGCTTCGCTGAACCAGTTGGCTATGTCTGTACATTACCACGCAGATATTTGTGAACATCGGATGTGACCATCGAACATGTGAAGATCTCACACAATCCTGAAAATCATAAGAAAGGTTTGCCTCCACATAGACTTAATTACTTAACTGACCGCTGATTGCGAAATGAACCATCACACTGTGCGGTCACCACCACGTCACATGACCATCAATAAATTTATCACACTTTACTGTTTGTACTGTTCCCTTCCGACTACAACCCTGAACGGAGAAGGCAGCTTTCGAAAGTTTGGCGGCAGTTGATGGAAAACAGACTTGTGGCGACCACCAGTCAATTAAACGTGGTGACCTATGTGGAAAATCCTCGGGGGTAGATAAAACAACGACTGCCTATAAACTAGGATTTTCCGACCTACGCAATGAACCGCTACAGTGCGACACCCGGAATGTTCCCACCAGGCGTCACGCCCACAAAATGTGGCTGTTTTTGCTCCACTTTTTCGTCAAAGCAACACATAACTAAGTCTCAAGCAGGACAACTAAAAAAAGATGTAAGGATCTGGTGGCCTACACAACGTCCACATGTCCCCTTAAGGGAGGCCAATGTAAAAAAAATACTAGGTTACCTTTCCTGAGTAAATGATTTGCAGGCCAACCGTCTTGTTTTGACCGTTAGGGAAAAACGGACTGACCCAGAAATGTTGAAAATGCTAGATTTTTTTGTTCGCCGTGTCCTCCCTTTCGATCTTCGTTTTCTCTGAGAATGTTACCTAACTGGGGACAACTGACCCAAAAACAGCAGTATTATTGATTCCTATGCAAATGACGACGAAGGTTGGCACATGCACTCGCGTAGCTTGGTTGCTCTTTTATAGACTTTCTTCATATGAACGGGCACCAGGTTTTGCCGTCTTTTTAAGTAAACATCCGCAAAAATCCTATGATACGAAAGGGACCAACTGGAATCACCCGTGGTGATTGCAGCTGTGTTTATTGGCGAGGATGAGGTCCAAACGCCGTTTGTATAAACAAAGAGGAATGGGGGTAAAAATAGTCTTCAATCTATGGACTATCAATATATTATGTACGAAGGTCACATTTGGACAGAAAATGCATGAGCGTTCCAAATGTAAAGTATACCAACTGTATCCTTGGCTCAGCATCCAAACCTCTATTCATCGTGGGCTAACGAATGAGCAGGGAACTGGGAACTAGAAAACGCTGCTCCACATTATCCTATCTTTTTATAAGTTCGACGAATGATTAACTTAGGGCTTCTAGTGCGTGGATATCAGTGGACCAAGAATTAGCACACATGAACCCACAATGAAGTCGAACATGTAGTGTAAGATTGATTGTTATTGATACGATACCACATATAAAGTCGATGAAAGATTCTGGACAGCCCTCTACCTGTTCAACAAAAAGACCGTTTACGGAGCGGTGAAGCATGGATTTTAAACAGTAGTCATATTGTAAGTGAGTATTACGGCTGAAACTCCCTATTCTCTATTGCGATGGGATTGCACAAGTTCCGATGTCCTGCACAAAGAAAAAGTGGTTTACAAGTACATGCGTTTCAGAATGGAAAGCGGGAAGCAGGCCACCAACCTACTCAAGTAATGGTTCACATTAGGTTGAACAGCCTGTCCCAGGTACGTCAAAAGGATTTGTCGGTTAATGCCGGGGACGGCTAAAGGTTCGATGACAGCGATGGACCTAACGAGCATCGGCTAAAGCAGCCCGCGTGTACTATTAAAACGGACGAAGAAATCCAATCCACATAAGTTCAGTATATCTACGAAAAAGGCTAGCTGAGGGAAGCGTTTTCATAAAAAAACCCCAAAGTATTTCACTCATTTGCATATTCATTTGGTTTTCGCGGGAGACCCAAGCGAATTCCAGCTGAATCTCTCATTTACGATGTTATTCTTCAGCTAGGTTTCATTTGAGTCTACCGTAAAAACCAAAATAGTACTTCGCTAATTTCGTCTAATTTGGGTTCAAGCGGAATATAAGTTTGACGGAATCTTGGGGGTTGCCCCTACCTGATGAACCGCAGACAGGGCAAATCGATCGTGGGTTTCCAGCAACTTTATGAGTAACTTGTTAGGACTAAACCCAGGGGATGTTCGATTTCTCGATATCATATGATGTTTCGGGAAAATCAAGATGTCGTGGGAGCGAAATTAAAAATTACTAGTAGCCGAAGTTACAGGCCCATCGACAGATGCAGTGTTATGGGAAACAGTAAGGCCCATGGCTAAAACATACCGTGTATTCAAGTGCAGTCACGTAGATTACAATGGCGATCACAATGATGACGTTTGACAATTTGCCTTTATTGCAAAAGCTTCGACGAGTAGTAATATCAACGTACAAAACAAAAAGCGTCAGCCTCACAAAGCATAACCATGTAATTCAAAGAATGTCCCCACATGCAGTCGGGAACAACTGCCCTGGCAAGTCCCATTTTCGAAATCCAGATGATACGGTTCGCTCCATTCGTATGAATCGACTGAATACGCAGTGCCCGTATTGTCCCAGGGCACACTTAATTTTTAAGACGTTGAAGTATTTTTCCCCAACTATAGATAATTTTCTGTTTCTAATGCTCCTTGTGTAGAGCGCATTTATACGCATTCAATCATTACAATTAGGATTTAATGTCCTGAGCTACCCATAACTAACTCTCTGGGTGCTTACGGCTTTCTCCGACCTAAAAGTTGTTGAAAACATCCATGAACATTATGCGCAGTGTGTGTTTTAGCAGGGCACCTTAAGTTAGCGTCACGGTGGCATTTGAACCATTTTTCCCTCAGACATATGTGTTTCAAGTGACGATTAGAATCATCCACACGATTAAAACTGTGCCGCTAGTAACCCAGCTAATTCACTTAAACAGGGGATTAACTGGGCGGAGTTATAACTCATTCCGGCAATAGAAACTCTCTCTATCAACCCTATCAATCTGTTTCGGTTAACACGCCACGACAAAGAAAAGCAGTTTTAGACAGGTAATCGTGCTTCAAAGGCACAGCCTATCAGTTGCGACTGAGGCGCAGAGCTATCCAGTTTTATTGGATAGGAGGCGGTTACAGAGAAATTCAGTAAACAAAGGGGCTACAGTCTATGAAGAATTTCCCCCGCAACATTAGCTACTTAGGTAGTCATTGGTAATAACCTTCGGGTAGATGGATTAGGATGGCGGGAGAGCACTTTCGAACAATACCCAGTGAGTAGCACAGTTCCGTCTGAATCAAGCATGCCAAGTTGCGCAGTAATAAAGGTATTGTAGAAAGACGAACGATGGAAATGTGGAGTGGACCTACCTAAGTTCGCTACATCACGCCGTACTAAGTCGGTGAGAAATTCCACAAGTGTGCCATTGCATTCGTGGAGACCAATCAGAGAACTGGCCACTTCTTCCTTCGCTTTGACAGGAAGAACGTGTTCCAACCACGTTGTTAGTTCAATGCTATGTTCCAGGACAAACTGTAGAGGGTCAACGAAAAATGATATCAGGCAATATATGGGTAAACGTTAAAGGTGAGACTGGCAAAAAAAGATAATAGTATCATTAATCTATTAAAATCCAGGAACAGGCTGAACAGGGTCATGGAGCTAACTTCAGTTTGCTCCGTGTGCATGTTCGATCAGAACTTCCGGAATGAAGCTTGCAATCGATTAATTGAGATCTGACATATACATAAATTCTGGTCTACCTGATGTAGTTCTCACCTCATAACCATGTTCAGACTAATTAGAATTCGAAACGGATGTGTAAAGCACTGAACCAGAACCGTTTTTTTTCGATTTAGAGCGCAACCAGTGTGACGTATTCGAAGATCGTTTCCTTCTGTCACCGAAAACAACTATTCGCAAAACCACCTGTTGTGATGTTTTAATTCTGTGACATTAAAACTTTTGGTCTTTCAGCTTTACCTAAGCTTCTTAGCTGATTTTAGACATATTTCCGGCTAGAATCTGTTCGGCCACCAATACCATCGCTACTGACCTTAAACGAATGTTATTCGGTGTCCATGAATCATATGAACTCTCTTGATAATACTCCAGCGACCTCTAAACATGTGATGACCCTTTTTACGGTGCCATTGAATCTGTTATGTCCTTTTAGAGCGCACCAGTGTGACGTATTCGAAGATCGTTTCCTTCTGTCACCGAAAACAACTATTCGCAAAACCACCTGTTGTGATGTTTTAATTCTGTGACATTAAAACTTTTGGTCTTTCAGCTTTACCTAAGCTTCTTAGCTGATTTTAGACATATTTCCGGCTAGAATCTGTTCGGCCACCAATACCATCGCTACTGACCTTAAACGAATGTTATTCGGTGTCCATGAATCATATGAACTCTCTTGATAATACTCCAGCGACCTCTAAACATGTGATGACCCTTTTTACGGTGCCATTGAATCTGTTATGTCCTAGTTACATCGCTGGCAGATTTGATGATCAACTTGGTTTCCTTTTTGCAAACAATTCTAGCTACTGCGTTGTTTGCCGACAGGCCCCCATCGTTATTCCTGACCACTGCACTCTTGGTTCGAATCCTTGAATCTCCTTTTAAAAAACATCCACCATGCCTGCCCTCATCGTTACTCTCATAGGGTGCGTAGCAGTAGACCTTGCTCAATTGATTTGTCCCTAATCGACTTTTTCACCTCTCACAACCGGATTACTCCTTTTAAATATGAACATATAACCAGTATTTCTAGTTTTGTCCTGACATGTTAGTAAATCGTAGCTATCTACTTCCCAATCGATGGATTACCTCATACTATTCAAAACGGCTACTGAGAGCGAGAGCGCATGCAAAGAAATGAACCGTCTGTTCTGTTTGGTAAGACGGAAGATCAATCACCTCAATTGTCTTTAGGTAAGAAAAAACATTTGGAAGCAGAGGTCTCACGAAGATTTAGACTACACTTAACAATTATGTGGTGACTGATCAGCGGGTAAATTCAATCACGAGTTTCCTTACTCGGTCAAACACGCCTTTCTTTCAAACCCCATTCATATACCAACTTAGACGACACTTGCTGGTCCCGCTAAGGAATTCCCTCCGAAAAAAGGATGCACTAAAAAGCTTTCGAACACATTAAGCACATTTTTTATTTTTTCGTGTCTTTGGGAAAGACACCTGATTACTGAAGATCCCTCTGTATTAAAACAGTTTTGATGGTACACACAGAGTAGTACAGCGCTCATGAGTGCAGCCGTTTCTCTACCGGTTTTAAGATATCGCTCATGAGAAATGGGTCCAAAGTGTGAAAAATAGCAGAAATTCGTCTAAAACAGTCCAAGGTGACACTTGATTGACTTGAAATGGGTTTCAGAGACCTGATAGAAGAAATCTGTAGCCAGGACGTTCCGACGGCAGCATTGATAGAGGCCTGTCGAATAAGTTAGTTGACTTCTTCACCAACAAAACCTAAAACGGTCACAAATCAACTGCCCACAAAGACAGCGCAGTTATTTTCATAAAGGAAACTACTCACAAGGTTGCTGAAAACTCTTCGACAGCCCACGACCGGTTTTGTCCTTCTTGGTGCCATCAGGTAGGCGCAGTCCCCGAGTTTCCGTCAACCTCATGATCTACTTGAACCCAAATTGCACTGTTTTCGAGAAATACACTCATTTGCAAATCAATTTGGTTTTCACGGGAGACTCGATTGGATCTCTCGTGAAAAGCAAATTGATTTACAAATGAACGTATTTCTCGAAAAGTAGCGCGGTTATATTTCAGTGAGCTATTCCTTGCCCATTCTTCTTATCTCTCTCTCTCTCTCTCTACGTAGGGGATCACTCAATTAATGACGACCGTGTTATCATTGCTTGTTCGGAGTTCGCTCTCTAGAATTCAAGATGATCTAACTGTACTTCCTAATTTGTCTGCTCACCGTCCCCTTAAACTGAACATACCATTTTGTCAACGTGAAATTCGGTCGCACGACATATGAATTACCTAGGCTCTGTACCACAAACATATCGTTTGACCGTTACCAACGTGTAATTCTCTAAATGACATTCAGTCAAGGTTGTCAAGAAGGATCACAAGAAAGCCCTGAACTTCAGATGGCAGATCTACATACCTGAATGTTAGGATGCATCCATCTTACTCTCGGAAGCCGAGATAGCTCTCGATCCTGGGGTACCCCAATCTAAAATCTCCGACCGCCTGTACACTTCCTCTCTGGTTACGGTACTCTCCTATGCTTTTCCCTGAACTGAACGGAAACCATTTTGTCGTGCTTATTAGACCTCTTGAACTCCTACCTTAAGGAGGAGGCTAGAGGTGTCTTGGTAAAGTTTGTCGTTTGTAGACACTTTGATCCATACGACGAAAGCACTCAGCCCTTACCAGCTAATTTTTTCCAAAACAACTTTAGTATCATGTGCATTTTCACGATCCAACCGTCTGTTTAGCTGCATATCAGCTTGAAAAAATATCGTTTGTTGAGTTACTGGCCTTTAAGTAGATCACTGCCAGGATTCATCCTAACGAACGACTGATCTATCAATAGTCTTCTTTGAATGTCAATCCTTTCACGCTACACTTATACGAATTCGAAAGCTTACTGGAAATTCCTTGTACTGAGCTGCTTATAATTTGCGCTATAGTGCATAAGGGTTTCCTGAATGGAATTTGATAAAGACCAGCGTTTGGATCGGTGGACAAAATATTTATACCGACAGTTTGTTTGATAATCTTCCAGTATGTCAGTATCTTTCATCCAACCCGTACACGTCAACAATGGTAGGTGAATTCAGATGCTCCTAGTTTTCGTAATGGTAGTAGCACGATTCTCTTTCCTGTAATGCCATCCAACCACAGGGCCAAACAAGCTTGACAGCGGGGGTTTTCGATTAAGACAGTGGATCTTGGGGTCTTGGGGGATCTTGGGTCTACGGCAGTGAAGCATTGGTGCTGAGCACTGTTATGCTGTCGTTGATGATGATGATCTTGGGGTTCCACCTTCATCAGACAGTTTAATCTAATTAAGGAACAAGGAAGTATCCCAGAAAACCAGGGCAACGGCTCACTATGCCTTTATTAAAAAAGTACCCACAGTGACTCCACCAATAATAAGGGCGTATGCATGGAGCCGGTGGGGACACGGTTACCGGATACTTCTACGCTCAAGGTCAACAGCATCTAGCAGAGGTACGACCAGTCCCTGGGCAGAGACATACACATCGCCAACCTCAAAGAAGCTTTCGAATTAGCGGGTAAGTTGATTTTTGTGCAAATACTTGGCGAAAAGGAAGTATGCAAGTAATGCATTTGAGTCATCTTCCAAAAAACAAATACTCCGTTCGGCACAACACGATCAACATTTAACGGTTCCAGCGGTATAATTATACGAGCACAGTTTTCTTCGTCCATATTATTGACACATCCATTCGTTCTTTAGTGTTTATATTACTTACTCCCCACTTTTACTTTGGAGCTACTATCGAACTGCATACACACTGATTTTGAAACAGATTAAGCAGTCAATTAGTCGTCTCAAACAGTGAGACTGTCCAGACGAGTAATCACTGCATGTTTAGAAAGTAAAGTGAAAAGGTAATTGTATCATAGTCAGATTAACTAGTATTGTCCAAATGTAAAAAATGCCTTCTTTAGCACAGGACATCCAATTTAACATGTTCGGTCGTCTTACTGGATATTGGCCGAAATCTTTATAACACGAGGTCGTCAGGATGGGTGGTATTTGGCGGTGGACACGGAAAACCCATTTTTATCCCTTCGCCCCTGGAAGAGATTACTGTACACATCTCGTTTTGAATGACTTGTTCACTCAGTACGAGTGTGTTGAACTGTTGGGTAATTTACTGCTTCACAATGAATTGGATGCCGAAGAGCTAGTCTCGTGATAAACTGTCCCAGAATAAACAGGCCTGTGAAAGATCAATGGGAATGGTCTGACAACAACTGAAGTCAGCACAACGTACGTTTGTTTACAATGGCGCCCTTATCCAGTGAGATGAATGTCATGTAAAAACCATTCGTTTTATTGGCAGAGAAGCTACCATATGATATGTGGGCGTAATCCATCGACCTAGACTAATCAAGAGGGAACTTAGCTACGTATTGCAGGTTTCTCACAAATGTGTTACTTATCCATTCGCAACCTAAGAGCACTCTGTGTTTACGAAAACCGAAAAAAAACACCCAAACATCACCTGGTTTAACTGTCCTGGCGGAAACGGGTCCAGTTGTGTGACAGCCGGAAACAAGTCCGGTGGTGTGAAAATGCGAAACGCGCTTACGAGATGCGGTCGATAGGATCAAAAGTATGACCAGAGAAAGAAAAAGCAGTTGGAACCTACAGTTCCCTCCTGACGAACTAGTTAAAAACTGTGTTCGTCCCCCCAGGCCTATTCATGAATGAGTGTGTATGCATTAGCGTAACATAGGGAAATCATGTTTCAAACGCGCTATGCTTGTTGCAAATGCGTGGTATTCGTTCAGTGATATATGAGTGGGGTTTGGACGGACATTTCACTCCGAAAAACAAGCCGCATGCCTCAAATACATTTGGTAAGTGGGATGAAGGCTTAGATGTGGCTATGGTCCCGCTCAGGACACTTAAATTTCCGAGGTTGGTGAACCCATCAATAACAAAAAACAACTAAGTAAACTTAGTGATAGTTGTGGGTCACGCAAATGATGAATTCTTCACGTCTGTTAGTATTTAATGCTTGGGACTCTATTCAAAAAAATCGAATCCACGCTCATTGTGCATCAACCCATACCAGCAAATTTTGAGCATTTACACATTACCAACCTCTAACCGACTGTTGAAGTCACATAAGGGGGTTCATTAATTGCACGATAAAATCCGGCAGTTGACCTATCAAAACTAAGTGCGCGAGATGAACGAGGATACGCAACGCACGTGTTTATCATGGGGCACTTTCCGCAGCAGCTGAGCTGTTAGACAACTGACTGTATTGAAACCAGGTCTGTTTAAAGGTATTTCGGACTCCCAAGAAGGATCACTAACTCTTCAGCCGCACCATGCAGTACCGTGTGTAGATTTCTTCGAGGGCCAACTGTTAACTGTACCCTTGAAGGAGTAGGCCAGATATGGAGATCTGAAGCTTGGGAGGCATTAAATGCTCCATACAAATAAAACAGAAAGCTCAACGTGCCTAACTTTCACAGAGAAATGCTGAACAGCCCATCAAAGACCTCCAGTGAAATATCACATAAGACAGCGTACCTTTTTCAGGGCCCAATAGTTCCGAATGGGCAGAATATCCACAGACTGATATCGCGCACGTATACGAATCTGAGGAAGATCACGCTGGTCAGTGACAAGGTGATTAAGTTGTGTTGTGCTGGCTTGCTGGTTGTATGTTGGAGACAACACGGAAGAACTACCAAATCTCACCAGACCGTTCGAAGCAGCTAAACCGGATAAACTGTCCTGGTGAGCACTGAAGACTGGCATCAGTACAGTGGCAGAGTCACGAGGTCCAGGTTCTGTCGGAGGTTGAAGGTTTAACCATGCTTGGACATCATTACGCCCGGATATTTCTGACATTGGGATAGTGACGAATCCTGCGAAAGTAATGAAAAGAAGAGCGAACGGATGACTGATCGCATCCGGAAATATTGAAGACAGCTCTAAGGGTAGGTGAGTGCTTCCCTGTGTTATGCGTGTTAATGCTTATAAGAAAATAACTTAGCACAGGACAGCCTAGCAACGAATTTACTAGAATTCGGTAAAAGCAAGCTGCATAAAAAGTTTATAGTAATAACCGCGGCATTCGGAACAACTGGAGACTGGAAGATGACACATTAGTCGTTCTACCGATGAACTGCTATTTTTGGACCTGGCACCCGGTACTAGTAATACAACTCCGATTAAAATGTATAACATTCTGTGGACACATACTAAACTGTTTGGAATGTGCGTCACACGGAAACTAATAGCAGCTGATTTCAACTTGATGATGGATAATTTGAAGGTATTTCAAGATATTACGAAATTATTAGCCACAAATGTCCAACAAAATCCGGTTTGATCGCTTTCACCTCATGAGTATACACCCCTAGCATGATAAATACCAATGGGGTTAAAAAGATCGGTACCGTTGTTTACACACAAAGCAAAGGTGAAAACTTGTTTCATGGCGCAGTCATCCAAAGGCAAACCCAAGGCGAAAAAAACTGGATAAGAATGTTGGTAACAACGCAATTGTTCTTCAAGGATAGTCATATGTCCTCTCCTGAAGACAGGGGACGTTTCGTGACATTATTCATAACTTGTCACTCAAGCTGCGAAAACAAGTACTTTTCCGGACGAGTGGTAACTTGATAGTTTAGTACACGACGAAGCAGTTACGGTTCGTGGTCCTGGGTGTAGTACTGCGTTATCAAACAACCATCTCAAAGTCAAGAAACTGCAAATTCCCCGCTGGAAACCCACTTTAGCCATCAATCTGAGACATAGGTGATCTAGGGCTATCTAGGCATGATGGCTTTAGGCATGTACAGCGACTCTGAATTTCTAAGTGCAAAGCACATCCCGGTCAGGCATTCAGCAAATTCTTCATAAAGAAAAATGAGAAAAACTCTACTACAGATGAACAATACAGTTTGCGGCAAGAAACAAGTCGACAGATTTTATTCCCTGAGTAAGATAATTGATGCAGCTCGAAATAGTTTGTTGGGGTAGTCCTACTGTTTTTGTGACTCCTCGATTCATTGACGCATTACCTAGGTCGAATCACATCTCTGTATTCCTACGAAGCTGATTCACTTTCCGGTGATTACGTTAGACAAAATGATAGCATACGGTTTATCATTTACTTGCACTTGAATATCCAAAAGAGTATTGCGGCAAGTGTCTGTGAACATGCTTACTGTGAAGTTCATTTGTGTCTGATTGGCGAAACTCACTGCAAATAGTAGCCAGAGTAACCCTATGCTAGACAGTTGTCGGCACTCAGTATGTGCGTGATAGATGGGGGGTAAGTTGAGAACAATGCAGCTGACAAAAGACGAAGAAAAACCCATAGTCGGTAAGTGGTATAATCCGACTGACCTGGGATGAATTTACCAGGCAAAATATAGAACGGTATTTTCTACTTTGCGAATACTAATTAGCAAGAAACGAGAACAATTTCGGTGAACAGTGGGCCACTACACACAGAAAGGTTACACACGGAATACTGATGTGGGATCAGACAGCATAGAAATGTTTCCGATTCACGAGAATACTACGAACTAGTGTAGACCAACGAGAAATTCGTATCCAGGATAAGTAAAATGATTCCAAAGAATTTTAGAGACAGTTTGCAAACGCTGGGTACGGATGAGACTTTGCATCAGAACTCACACTTCAGATAGAAGTATTAAAGAATAAGACGATTCACAGAATAAAACAGATAGCAACACAAAGACAAAGACACGGCGACCAAAACAATCACAAATTAATGTACTGTAATAAACCACTGAATATTGCAGACGAGTCAGATTTGGTGTCCTGAATTTGGAAAAACAGACCAAAGAGAACAGGTGAACTTAAGTTACCGGGCTGTCAGGCAATAATCAATAGAGAACGCCTTCATAACGTAGAAAGAATGACCAAAAACAGATCTTTAAGAAGTGGCCGTTCTAGAGCGGAATGATCACCATACAGTTCACAGACTAAATTTCAGCCACCGTGACCATACATAATGTAGCTGAGTTTCATTCGGAACAGGTTCGCCTCTGAAAACAAAGATATAGAAAAAAACATCTACGATCAAAACGGTTCCACTTTATTTATGATGAGGTTGATAGATGAAAGTCTAGTCAGTAAGGCTAATAGTGCCCCATCCGGCATCCACGGCGCCACACACACCTTAGTTACTGTGGGGATTTCTTTCAAACTGACTAGGCATTTCGAGACTTGGATGCAGTTTGCTAAGGTATAGGTTTATTTGCAGTGTTCTTTATAGAGCACAGGAACAAAAACAAGTTAGCGGAAAAACACCGCCAACGGAGATGCAATAACGCAAGCGCGGATCAGGGGTGCCCTAAAGTGACTGACTTCATTTTCATGGACAAACAGCGAACATATTATAACGGGTCACTGACCAAATTCTGCTATTCAGAAAACTAGCTTGAGAGGTAGAGCGTCGGCACCAGTGTTACGTGCAGTCGTTGCAAGTCAGTCGACTCAGAACAACTAGCATGCTAAAAATGCGTACGCCAACAACAACGAACTGCCGAAGGAAACTCCAGTTAGGGGTACCAGTGTGGCATTTCCGAGCAGCGTCACATGTATCAGTCAGGAAAGACTTGACTCATGAGCAGGTCTGGTGTAGGGACTGATTACTTACTCCCGTGCCATTACCGCAATATTCAAATAAGCTAGGAGAGCTGAGGTTTACCTGCATTTCAACACCGTCACTCTACAAAGAAACATCCGATCAGAGAAAGCTGAAAGCAGACTGCCTGTCTGAAGACAAGCATTGAGTGTGTGACTTACCCACAAGTTGGTTTTGAGATTTCCTGTACTTTTTCGATCCTAGTCTGGTTGTGCCGAAACGCCGACTGTCCTTATTCGAGGAATCAGCTTCTTTGTACAAACTGATTGTCATAACCGACACGTTTGGAAGATTGCTAAGAAGTGCAGATACATGGAGTAAAGGACAAAGACTGGAGCCAAACTTGTAAGGACGGACGTTAAAAATATACCATACTTTCTGAAAACTTCGGAAACACATGTTAATGAAGGCATTTGACGGATACCATATGAACTAATTCCGCTAAGCAGCTAAGTCACGATCATCCAATATGCTACTACTTAATTAGGTTGCTATGGTGTCACCATTTGCTGCGATAGATTGTTAGTTTAAGTGAAACAGTGCTATTGTCACTAAAAATTCATGGCTCTATTTGGCCGCTATACTTTCATAACACGCAACGAGTGTCCTTTAAGACAACCGCATGACTGTACACGCCAGTTAAATTTTGTGGATCACCTTTCAAAAACGGCAAGAGTTGTTTTTTTCCGCAGTCGTAGCATTGAGTCAGTCAGTATACAGTCAAACCAAAACAGACTGCATCCCATTTCATACGTTACACCTAATTCACTATTTCCTCGTTCCTCTGACCAGCTGTGGTTTATCGGACTAATTCCATGAATGTCTGAGCAATATGTACAAGAAGACACAAACGATTACAGTATACAGTCTACTAATGTAGTTGCTCTTCTTGCGTGCGATGTTTTGTCTCATGCACCTTAAGCCAAAGTCCAGTGCGACAGGAGAATCCAACAATTCAGACACTCGTACAACCTAGCCAGGAGAATGCATTCGAGAGTAACACCATACTGGACACGTTACAAGAGTAATTCTGGGTAAAGATGTGCGTTGAGTTACGTTATCTCGAGTTGAAGCGTAGTTTCGTGTCACTGAAAGCCTGTAACCTAAAGGGGTAACATCAGAGATCCCCAGAATAATTAGTAAACATGCATCAGTTTGAAGAATACGAACCTCACGTCTTCCATAGTTGCTGCAATATTTGGGTGCAAATGTACCATAAACATGGTTGATCAAATATGATTGCTAACTAAGGAAAGCTGGCCACCGAGATAAAGCGTTTCACAGAATGCTGTGAAACGATGCTGTTACAGCGCCATTCAGCTGTAACCTATACACGTTGTTACAAAAATTCCATAATTAACAACTACACGATCATAACACGACATTGCAAGTAAAAAAAAATCCGGGGCACATAGCTCCGAGTAGCCATCTATGAGGGGCACTGACTTTCCAGATGAAAAGAGCTACTGATATACTGCAAATTTAAAGCACAAATTTCGCGTCCTGAATGATAAGGTTGCCTGGAAAATGCATCCCAAACCCGGAGCAAAACTCTCCGTAGTACTGTTGAGCTGTTTGGCATTATGGCACCTATTTTCACACATAGATCCGTTCATGTTCAGCTAAGTGTTGCAATTTATTGGACGAAACCGTATTAAGGATAGATGTCATCGGAGAAAACCCCCCACTGTGTTTTAAACTGTCTTTAACCAGTAGGTGCACCTGTCCAAGCTCTCGAGGACACTTCACCGATACACCGTACCATAACCGGGACGAAATGCCTCGTCCGAAATCGGTGTCAACAGTGCATAACTAAGATGCCACACCGAAAACGGATCGTGATGACAGGAAATGAAAGTAAGTAAGCAGACTTATCCCAATAGTCTAGCAAAAAACACTAATCACCAGATGCAACCTCGATCCGTAGGGAACACCAGATAATGGATAACCTCATTCGTTTGTCGAGAGTGGAACCAACCTGGAAACCTTGGCCACACTCGTAGTAAAGGAAAGTCATAGCCGGTTCACAGCAGGATTCAGAATGTCTTTTGTTTCATATATCTCTCTTGGATCTTGTTTCTAATTTACCGATGCTATCTGTTTCGTCAGGGTTCTAAAGTTGTGTGTTCTACTACGAGATGTTGAGTACGAATTCAACCGGACCCAATTGTCTGGACATGCACCAAGCTCGGAAGACAACAAGAATACGTAAGAACGAACAGAACACATCGTAAAAGTGACATGAAAGACAAGGTTACAAGAGATTGTGACACACTTACTTGAGATCGAAATCCTCTGCCCAAAATATTCCATTTGTAGCAGTTTTACTGGTCGTTCGAGCATAGAGTGTACGATCCAAACAGATATCACAGTAATAGCTACAGGATGCGGTAAAAAAAACGACAGTTTAGCCAGGGTTCAGAACAATCCAGTGAAAATTCCAACCAAAGAAAGCTGAACGAAAGCCAACGAACACTACGTCCAACCAGCTTAGCTGGCACTAGGAGGATAGAACAAACGGGATCAACATTCGTAAATTACAGACACAAGATATAAGTGCGCGTCAAACTTCACCAAATTCATGCACGCGGCAATTCAGTAACACAGACCACACGGGAAAGAGATGATTAGACAGCGCCTCCTACTGCTTTGTTCAACAATTGTCTGGCACTGACGGGCGTCCAGATTAGGGTGACACATGGAGCGGCAGGCATGCAGAGTAAGTCGACGGCAGTAAGAACAAGCGCTGTGAATGAATTGCCGGTGGAAAAATGATTTGACCACGATAAGTAAAACAAACAGCTGATGATAAATCGATAAAACTGACAGATACTTTAACAGAATGAAATACAGGTAACTGGGTTTAGGAATAAAACAAATATGATACAGCAAGATACCATTCACAACGATACTAAGTGAAAATGGCATTACGTACATTTAAAACGATGGCAGGTTATTTCACGTATTTCGGCTGTAACAGTAACCCATACTGTGAAGAACGCGAATGTAAGAGGAAGGGATACAACTGTACCGAACCAAAACGAAAGTGAAGGCCTTCACCCACCAAAATTAATCACTTTTCTTCACTTGACTGGCCCTAAAGGCAAACAACGAGCTCCAAGCTGATTTAAATCAGCCAGTGCCTAGAGAACATAACGGAAAATACTTGTACACGTCTATACAAATGCGGCTCTGATGCAGCAACTCCAACTGCATAGTCTACCTAATTTTCCCACACGAATGATAAGAACAGTCCGTTTGAACGAGTTTCCAAAAATGCAGGTAAACGGTTCATCTGTTCGATCACCTTGATCAAAAAGAAAATAATGGGAGTATTAATCGATCGCAGGGATCGGCAAGTAACAATACCTCGCACATCCGCCAGGTAACGTACAAAAGCTCATCTCAAATGACACCTTTTTGTGGATGTGAAAAACGGCCAAAAATGCGAATCCTATTTTAGTTGATTATTTTTAGTTTAACTTTAAACTTTGACCAAAGTGACGCGCTTACAACACTTTACTTTTATTTACTGATGAAATTCTTACATTATCCTAGGACAATACCCTGAAAGCGGAGTATAGTACCGGCACCTGCGTATCTCCTAAGCCAGAGCATACATAGTGCCTAGGCTAGCATTACCTTTCACGCTGGTTTGAATAAGTATGTTCCAAACAACTAGAAGAATGCAAAGGTTCTGCGGAAGTCACAGATGTAAATCTTTTGGCACCAATGAGAATTTTAAATGGTGAATCGCGAGACGCAAACGTGGGCAGTAGTACTGTACTGAGGTAAATGAACGTTTTCACAATGAATGTTTTCACCTGGTCTGAACGTCAGGCGGGATAAGTTTTTACGGTGGATGACCGCCGTTTAATGTTTCACACGAACTAGTCAACAGATTTAGCAGATTTCGCCGGAACGACAATGTGTCACAAGGGTGACGCAAAGGAGAATGCTCTAAAGAACCCCGATTACCTCCGGATCACTGTCTAAGTGCACCCAGGTACGTCTAGGTTTTGCATCACTGACACTTCGAAATAGACCAAATTTGATGGGTGAAGCGCGTGTTATGTGGCATAGACAAGTCTTCCTATCAGAGGTTGATTGGCAGTTTGACATAACTAGATGTGTTAAGACCTATAGGTACCTCACTTAATACCAGGCTTATTGGCACCTATAGTGTCTGTAGTCAGGGGTCTAGAAAGGTCTATCAAAACAGTCACGGTATGCTCAGATATTGTGGATGAGTGACAAGAAAACCACTCACAAGACAAACAACATTCCGTTCTGGAAGGTTTTGAATTCCTAAGATAATCTTCGCACAGCGACTTTTATACGTTTATACCGCGGGAAAATTTGGAGGTCTATGAGTGAGCTTTATCATATTTAGGTACTACAACGCATGAAGGTTCCGGGTGCACGCCTCGATTTTTGACTGAAGCATGAACTGAGAACTGAAGGTTAGTGAGGCATTTCAATCAGGGTTTAATAAGCAGATAGTGACTATAATTCACATTGTTTCTTTTATCATAAAGATATAACTTGCCGGCGCTTGCTTGAAAGATTGCGAGCTTCCAAAATGGAGAGTTTGAGGGAGTTCTCACGATGCCGTTCATTTTCTAAATTCGGTTTTGCCGTGCGTCGAAGGCTAGAAAGAATAGAACAAACAACACTCGTGTATGTGCAGCACAGTTCCACAGAGTAAAATGATGCAGATAATTTTCAAGACATTCAATTCATCCTACATAGCCAAATACAGTTCGCATATATCTGCTGCCGATTTTGGTGGCTTGTAAGCGTTGGATAACATTGAACCGAGTGGTCATACGCCCCTACGCTATTTACATCCCACCTGTTAGCAAACGCTTGAGAATCCTCCCAGGCAGCCTGTAGACAAGTAAAGTAAATGAACCTAAATCTCCTGTGTATCGAACATGTTACCTCATTGTTGCACGGTGCTCTCATTTGCTCTTGACCACGTAGCCCACTGAAATTTGCTGCTCAACTGAAATTTCTTCCAGTTGCTAGTGGGTTTTGCAAACGTTAAAAAAGCGAGAGCTTATGCCTTAATCCACTTCAACATGAATAGGTGAGCCCCCGTTATCTTGCCGCCTAACGTAAAGCCAAAGTTTTAGAACGACCAACCGTGTGTCGTTTTATTTAATGGCAATCAGTAGATTTATTGCTGGGCAACGTTTCGCTTTTCGTCAGGCCAAGTGACTAGGTTCCTAGGTTGGTCGAGGTTTAAGGTGAAAGGATAACCAATCAGCTAAGTCAAGCTAAATATCTATTGGGTGTCGGCCGAGGGTCGATAATGATATGCATAAGTTGCACGCACTACAAAGCGTCAAACAATCCGACCAGTATAGCCACCCCGAACGCACTGAGTTGGATGTAAACTATTGTAAACAGCAATCAGGTGAATTTAAACTAGTATCCCACTTTGAGAATGCATTTTTTCCCGAATATACCTATGAGATAAGCTTGATGGCGACAGGAGAGCTAGGCAACCTGATTAACCGCAAAGGAGCGAAACCGGCGGTGAGCCGGACGAAATTTTCATCGACCTCTCCAATCCACTGGCGTGTGAATAAGCCCTATTTACTCTAATGCACGCTATATTTGTGGGGTATAAGTACTAATGCTACCGGAGATATGTCCGGCTCTCCCCTTGAGCAACACTTTTCTGAAATGTTATTAAGGTGGGTCCAAGTGAAACGACATAGATAAAACGAAACCTTCATGAGTCAATCACAACCAAAGTTTCTAATTGGCGTGACCCATTAGGCCTTGATGAAACTGTAATTAGCGTTGATCAACCAGTCACGGTCATGTATCTCAGTATTCCAACCTGTGTCGAAACGATCATGGATACCCTACACTGGGTACGAGATGTCGGATGTTATACAAATTACAACTGTTACGAGAATTCATTTGGATAAGCGCAGGCTTCAGATATCCCCACGATAGTTTGTTCATTTACAGTGACAGGCTACATAAGGGCGCTACAAATCGTCTGGCATATATAATTAAATTGAACACTTCTGATGGAATCAAGCGAGAACACGAGCTGTCCGGTCGTTGTGAGGGAATTACGTGTCATAAGCTGAACTTAAACTTGTAAGTTCCACCAAAGCATCACCATTAGGATAGCGGTCCCTATTAGGCTTGGTCACCTTAGGGTGTGGTATCGAATTTCTAGCATAGGTTCGCCTGATTAGCTCATTCAAGTCATTCACAATGAAGTATATACAGAGCAGCTGCAAAAATGATTCGGCAGATTAGAAACGACACAACAATATGCGTAGGTATTACTAGAGGCATCATGTAATAAGCAGGGTGATTGTGTGAGAAAGCTATGGGCTGGCCAACGCGTCATCTGATAGTCAGCAGACGGCACCCGCATGCTGGAACGCGTGTTTCATTCAGCTGAATTATGAAGACTTTGACGGAGCAGTTGATCTACAGTCCATCGATTATACGTACTGCAGCAGACTGACGCGATCCGGCTAGCGAGAAAATAACTAAAGACTGACCTTGGCAAAAACAAAGGCAAGCGAATGAGTAGTAATTATAAGGACACTCGGATACGTGATCTACTATAGTCATTAAAAACGTGAAAATGATCACCGATCATAGACACACTTGGAAACCGGGTACTCTTACGTTCGATATACCAAAAATACGACCCCTCAATAATTATTCTTTAAAGTTTTCCAAACTTCACACACCTGACGCCACGGGTTGAACTCACTGTGAAAAAGATGGTGTTCAAACAGCACGATAGTTTCCCTGTTTGATGGCTCGCCGACCAAGTTAGGTGGTTAGTGGATCTAATGACTATGCGGATATGTAATCACCTCAAGTTGTAGCACCACCGTTAGTCAATATATGTTGCTGTCAAAGTCCCCCTGGTTCAAAATGAAGAGCGTAGAATGTTGGCACAGTTCGTGAGCTATTATATGCAACAGTACTCGGGGCAATTCTAATGCGCTTAGGTGACCATATGCAGAAAAATTGAGAAAAAGCGTAACTTTATGGAAGATTAATGAACGCATACGTGAGAGAACCTGCCCATATATCGCTGTATGGTCCATCAGAAATTGAAGTAAGGGATACTGAGGAAGCATTCTTCCTTCCTGAAGAGTGTACAAGTTCATCAGTGCTATCAAAAACGGGCAGGGGTCGTTTGATCAACAAGGAGTTCGCGGAAGGCAAAGAGTTGGTTCCCTCTCGATCCACTTCTAAAAAGCGACGCATGTGCTGAGGTATCGTGAATGCAGATCTTTCGAAATTGCCATTCATAGGATCACATGTGTGCAGATCATCAGCATAGAGACTTCCGACGTTCCATGGTAGGTTAGAAGAGGGACAATTCGCCTTCAATGCATCCATGTTTTATACATGAAAACTAAAATCCAGTCTCATGTGGCGCTATCCACAAAATCGGGTTTAAACCAAAACGAAGAGGATCGCGTGGAACAGATCCATCAGTGCCTTTCTTATCACAGATTGTGTCAATCGCTCAGACAACCCGCGCAAAGTCGGACATGACGAGCTATCAACATAGGGACACTTCTATTGACGTGGTCAGCGTCGGACTGAACCCATTCGCCAGAAAGCATCGCCTGTCCTGTTGGCGCACTGTTAGTGAGCCAATCCACGGTGAAGGCTTTCAGCCAATGAGAGAGCGGAAGCCACATAAACCCTATTGGTTACGTGGTCAGCGTCGGACTGAACCCATTCGCCAGAAAGCATCGCCTGTCCTGTTGGCGCACTGTTAGTGAGCCAATCCACGGTGAAGGCTTTCAGCCAATGAGAGAGCGGAAGCCACATAAACCCTATTGGTTGTGATGTCCGGGTCGGACCATGGGTGTGGCCTGTCGTTTTCGGCGGGTAACCGTAGCGCGTGACCCGGAAACGGTGAATCGATACTGCCTTTCCAGGGCTAAGCGGAACGGTATGTGGTGGATTCAAGCTGAGTGATTTTCGATTGTCTCATCATGGTTCATGTTGGACAGCTGCATATCAGAGAAAAGTGACTAGATTTTGTGGAACGCGAAACGTAGCGTCATTTCAAGTAAAGCGACGTAATACGAGAATTTTGAATGCACTGGAATACAGTGCCGGGCAATAAAATCGACTTCCGGACACCATATTCATCGGAACGGGTTTGGTTTGATTAGTTCTCTGAAATGACTGTTGTGGGTACGGTCGAGGAAGTTCTCCGTTGATAAGGATAAGGATGTGATGTGGTCATCACTGTCAAACCACCAAGTTGGACGATAGACCAAAACTATTTAACGCAGAAAGTGAAAAGCATTGTACGACTGTTCCATCGTTGCTAGGCCTCCTAAGCAGTGAGAGATTCGAGATTCTATAGAGGATCCGAATTTCGGGTTGGTAATTGGGCGTCGTAACATCCGGTTGGGTGGCTGATCAGCAGTGTAACTAAAGTGCCGCTATAGTGTCGCTGTTCCTCAGTTTGCATTAAGTAATCCGGTGCTGACTGATTTCCCGAGTGGTAGCCTTTCACAGATAAGGGCCAAATAGCCTGTAGGATTCCCTTACTGAGCAAACTCTAGAACTTGAAGAGGAGTTTCAAGTCTAATTCTAGATTTAATCCTGAACATGAAGACGAATTATGCTGTAAGATCGACAGGCACTGTACAACGCTATGAAACGTGAGAGGACGGCAGTGAAGCATCAGCGTTGAACACTGATGTCATGCTGTCGGTGATGATGATGATGATGACGTCAAAACAACACCTTACACAAACTTTGGATAATTCCAAAAACTCACCTCCGCAACCACCGGAGACGGCTCAGGAAACTGGGGGCAGCAAATATTCTACAGAGTAGGGCAGCATCACTCGAGAGCCGCTGGTATTCAGAGGATTTGATACATGTAGATGCGGGTGCAGAACAGAAGAAACAAAATTCCCTCCCACCAGTTAATGTTGGGTGTAATGCTCCGAAGTGAACGAAACCGGAGCAAGTGAGCAGGTATCCGGGAGCTGTATCGAGACGAGCCAACAGTTGTGTGCTACCGTGAGGCGGTACGCTTCGTTGGTGTCCACTGCCGATGAAACTAACCGACCCTACGGAGTCACCAACAGGGAAAAGAGGCGTTGTGCTCGACCTGGTGACATGTCCCGAATCATTAGGAGTACCCGTTTCCATTAGGGAGTCGGATAACGGAACCAGTGCGACACAATTCGGATAAGACCCACCAGGACAGGAGTAGAAACGGTTGCCGTGAAGATTACCCATCCATTCGAGACTGTGCAGAAAATGACAAACGAAATTGGTGTGGTTTCATTAAAGTTGTCAGCTACGTTTATTGATACTTCATTCCGGCAACACGCGGAAAAAAGGTAAACAATACGCCCTATGCTTTGTGGGGGCGAGATGGCTCAGAGATCAGAACGCAGATTTACTGACCGCAAGGTGCGTGGTTCGAACCCGACCTCTGCATCCCGAACTACAGACGCGGATTTACGGACGCAAGGTGCGTGGTTCGAACCCGACCTCTGCATCCCGAACTACAGATGAATGATTATCTTATATTTTTCCCTATACTCCCCACTGACGGAGTTCCCAGAGATGTACCCAAATGATTCTGGAAAGTGCAACAGGTCTGCAAACAGCAACATCAACAATCGACATATACCACTTTGCACAGACTGGTAGAAGTGGCGAGACGCTGACTTGTTGAATATCCGAGAAAAACCTGTGAATCATCAGATAAAAAATGTACAAATGGCCCCAGATACTCACTGCCAACTCGAATCGTGAACATGATCCTGCCCATCCAGCTGATCCTTATTATTTCCATACGGCTGATACATAGACAGGCAGATACTAACGATACAGAGCACAGATTCAAGAATAAAATGTTTCTCACTTTGGGCTGGTATCATTTCTCAGAAGAAATAGACCAGAATGTTCGTTCACGCGATTGACGTCTCCAACGGTGATACACTGGAAAAGCCGTGAAAGACGGGCATTTGATTTAGGTCGCCTATGTCTTTCAGTGTGTAGTCGATCAGAAGATAGGCGGACGCTGGAAGCCTGGATTTGCTGACTGACTCCTGGAATATGTGGTTGGGTTGGTTCATCCAATCCGACGTGCTGAAAACTGAAGCTACGCCGTAAGGTACGGAGAAATCGCTGGAGACGAGATGGAGTTCGCCTGACCAGTTGACAATGAACAGAAGGATTCGGATTATCCGGCAACACTGCATGGGACACCTCGAACGCTGCATCCAAAGCGGATAAAGAATTTGACACAGCATTTCCAGTCAGGTTTATATCAGTTGGTGTACTCTGGGCAGCGAGGGAGGGAACAGATACGTTGAGTGACGTCGTTTCATCGTACCCAAACGGGGACCATACGTGATCCGCTCTAAAAAATATACGGAAAATCGATCCGGTATGGGGTTTTAAGTGACATGACACTGGATAGATAGCCAATAGCCATATTGAGCTAGAGAATACTCACTGGTTAGGGTGCAAAAATACTGACCGGAAGATCTGCGGCTCGAACCAACCTCGGAATCTCAATTGTTCTCACCAAGGCTACGACAATATGATGGTATTACAGCCCTCGTACCTCCTTACGGTGTCACAGCAGCTGCACACCGAAACGGTGGTACGGCTGAACGCCTATTTTATTTCAGTTATTAATTAAGTAGCCGTATTTTGTCCAGACCTAGGCTTGTATTTGGTCTTGTCCGACCAGAATGTGAATAGTAGACCAGACAGTTTTCACAGTGCGATGGATGTTCGGACACAATAAGTGCAATCCCCTCAGAAAATTACCAAAACTAGTTCCCCTGTAAAAAATGAGGCGAACCTGCTTCGACTTCTTCTTGGAATTGCAGTTTTTGGGCTAGCTGGCCGAGTAACCATAACAAAGACAATAAGCGTCCAACTGAAACACGCTGCCATGCCAACCAAAAGCCAGCCCAGACTAGACAGAAACCAAAATTTAGAAGTTTCTGATTGGCGAGGCACGAAAGAGCATTGGTCTGAACTTAAACCGACAGAGTAATACTCTTCTGCATTCCAGAAAGACTCAGCGGAGAGGGCTATTTGCTGCGACCAAACAACAGTCCTGAGAGATCTAGCAAAACACTCCAGAATGAGCGCCAACGAGAGCAAAGCGTAGTACGAAAGAGACTCATTTATTTACATCCACTGCAGCAAAGCTGAATTTGGAAGCAAATACAAAGTCTATATTGTCTGTGCCGGCCATACCCATGGCGAATGGTGATTCACGACAGGCTTATAAATTCGTCGGCCCAAACAGTAATTTGGCCATCACATATGACACGAGAAACCGTAGGATGAATTAACCAGCAAAACCGCACTGGGAGGAATCAAACGACTTATTTCTCAAAGTTTAGATTGTCAACCTAATTAAGTGACTAACAATAGAGCACTCATTGTGTTTAATCGATGAAATCTTGGTTCAGAAGGCGAAATAATTGAAGGATTGTTTCTTGGGAAGAGATGATCTTGCAACCCGATTGTCGATGATGTGAGGTGTGAAAGAAAGGTTGCGTCATAAAGAGAAGCAATTAAGCTCACATTCGTTCTTTTATTCGATTCAATAAATGGACGCCTACTATGGGTGCATGACAAAACCGTTGAGTCAAAACAGCGACGACCAAACATCTGTTATCATGAGGAATATTCAAGAATGCAGATGGGCCAACATCAACGACTTCATATAAGAGCACTGTGAGTAGCTCACACAATACATCGACACAACGAGGGAGTTAGAAGGTAGAGCCGTAAGCGGAGATGCAGACAGCTAACAATGATTCTTCACTACTTAACATTGCAAGTAGTGAGCAAACAAAATGTTTGCTTATGGAAAGGAGCAATGATCACGAAACTATCTTGTCCATGGTGTGGCGATTCCAGCTTGAGTTTCAGATGGTTTTCTGACGACTTTGTTCCTTCAATCGTGGCTACTCGTCAAAAAATACTGAATTATCTCAAGCAATATGTCATCTCAGAAGCACTTCATATCAAGGGAAGTTTCACTCAGTGTCGCCTTGGATAGACGCTTCTGTGATTAACACGCAGAAAAACTTCAGTGGTAGGAAAAGAGGTGGTGTGGTAATGAGAAAGCCCACCAGAACAAGTACCATCACTTAAAGATGAAAAAACTTCAACAAAGTTAAGTGTCACTTTTGATGGGCGCGAGAAACGGGAAAGCCTGAAGAAATACGGTCCTCCCTCCAGAATGAAAGGATTTATATGAACCCAAAATTCTGTAATCAGATGCGCGAAAACAAGCAATAAAATAAAAAACACAAAGAGATCTCAAAAGTTGGACGGGAAACCAGTAGAGTAAAGCATACGCTTCTGATGACATGTGCAGAATCACCCGAAAGTGACCAGGTGAGCGTAATAATGCTGTTCCGACCGGACAGCAGCTTGCCCTGTTTGACTAACAATTTTACAAGGAGGGGCTTTGGTTTTCAGTCTGGTAGTTAACTGAACGAGCGAACGGAGTGTGCTGATGTCCTGTCACTTTATTCGATGGAGAGTGGTTTCATTGCTTTGCTTCTTTTGCGTGGACATTCAAAAATATGTTTAGCTTGGTAGTACTGGCCGAATGTTGACTCCGTACGAGCTAGCGTAATGCGCTTTACTCAACCAATAGCTAAAAAGCACTTTCAAAACAGGGTTTTCAAATCACAGACCAGCATTCGACTGTATATGTGAGATAAGTGCTGCCTTGTACCCGCTTGAGTCGATGGAAAGTGCGTTTCTCACCTGCAGTATGGTTGTCAGACTGTTCACCAGAAGCTCACCACCTTCTCTGAAGGACGCGGGATTAGACCATCCGGGCCAGGTGGCTTGTCGCGCTTCAGGAGTGAAATCTCACGCTGGATTTCGGTTGCTGATGGTGGGTTGGTGTGAGTGTTGCGTTGTGCTAGAGGGGACCAGGTGAACTGTTCTTTGAAGTGCTCAGCCCACCGCTCAAGACGGCGGTTGAGGGAGGGAATTGCTGTTCTGCTTTTCCGCATGTTGTCTTACTGACACCTGAGTTCATTTGACCCGTTGAAACAGGGCACGGCTGTTGCCTGCAGCGAAAGCTTTCTCCTTCTTCTGGTCCCTCGAAATCCACTAGCGTTCTCTGTCATTCTTTAAGCTCCTGATTATCCGGTGTTTGCGGGATCTGCGTGCACCACCATAGTAGCTAGTGGCTGGTATGGCCTTTCTGATAACAGTAAAATCTGCTGATTTCGAAGATATCCGGTGTTCATTGAGTCGAGTCAGATGGGCTAGAAAAACAGTTCTGAAAGCTGAGAACATAGCTTCTTTCAGTCGCCTCCATTCATCCCCTAGGCAATATTCGTCATCCACATGACTGTACCATATAGTCCAATTGAGTCCACGACTGTCTTGAGGTAAGTGGCCTTCAAGTAACTCGATGTGAGCGTTTGTAGTGGAACTACTCAACGGCTAGGAACACACGATGATCTACACACAACTGAAGAAGCCACTCCCCGTGATTCATATGTCCGGCATCGAAACCAAATCTACCACCTAACTGTGCTTGTTCTGGACTTATTCGTCCAACTTGGGCTTACACATCCCTCACCAGGATCACTACATCTGTCCCTCTTCCCGAACGAAGCAGCTGTGACAGATCTTGATAAAACTCGTGCTTCTCAGTTTCAGAAGTGCAATCAGTTGGAGCGTAAGCTGATACAAACACCGTTTACCACATCGACCTGCGTTAATCGTAATGGAGCCAGACAACCGCACAGCGCAAAGGCGAGTGTTTACTGGGATCCAGTCCAGTAAGGCGCTTTTAGCCTTGGGGCTGAGTGCAACTCCTACACCACAGATACCACGAGCCATTGCGTCAGGATCACCTTATGCCCAAAAAGTGAAATGTGGAACATCTTGGCTCGTACTAAGCGGCTTGAGGACCACGACCAAAGTGGAGTCTTATATGCGTGTTTCAGAGACAATATACATCGATAGAGAAGGAAAGCAAGGTTTCAGCAAGGAATGCCTGTTGCCCAATTTGACACAGAGTACGGACATTAACAGCTGCAACGGGGATCAGATCTTTTGAGGTTAGTAGGCCATTATTTTGGTTTATTTTTCTGGGCGATGGTTGAGACGCGGAACAGTGGCTAGGAGGTTGGCAGATGGTTGATTGCACTGCATTGTACGGTGGGTTGAAAAAAGGGGGAAGGCCGGTGAGCGAAGAGCTGCAAGGGCAGATGATATCTCCCGGTTGCACAGGCCGAAGAAGGGGGGTTAGTTGAGGTAGCCCCTCTTGAGCCTTTGACTCATAAGTCTGACCCACATAGCAGTGGGAGGATGTAGGGTTTTGTTCAGGGACCCTGCCCCTGGTCTCTGACTCAAGAGTCTGGACCGCGAGACAGCGGTTGTTAGTGTTTTCTTGGGGGGCCCTTCCAAGAGCCAATGACTCAATAGTCTGACCTACTTGGCTGTAGGGGGCCGGCCTGACCCGAGGGTGCAGCGAGTAGGGCATTACTGTCTCACAAGAGCGCCTTTTGAGTAGCACCGGTCTCTAAAATTATTTCGACCGTGTTAAATAACGCGCCGGCGGTCGTGGTCAACCGTTGCGTGATCGAAGTGTGCGGTTTTCGGGGCCCACCCTTTCTAACTCGTCCTTCCGGAGCGTGCTTGGCTGTTTATAATCAATTGGGAAGCGGCAACTAAGACGAGTATTGGTCCCAATACCAAGGCCAAACAAGACCAGAAAAGCAAGACCGCAGAATCCGGTTACGAAATCAAGACAATTACCTGACTAATCTATCGTAAGTGTTAGTGATCCCCACTAACCACCAAACAGGAACTGCAGACCGCTAACCAGCAATGAACAAGTCAGTTAGTCAGAAGAAACCTCACGGAGTGGTTACCTGAATGCCTTAAAACTCGACCAACCTGGTTACTTACCCAATCGGCCTGACGAAGCTTTTGTGTAAAGGTGAAACCTTGCCCAGCAATAAATCCACCAATTTTACCAAACCTCTCTGAAACGAAACGACTGGTTCCTTATTACTGACCGCGTCCCGGAAACGATTGATGGGATCAAGATGCTCCAGTAACCTCTAGGTGGAGCTGTTTTCACTGTGCTGTCTCACGCCCGTGTTGTGCATTTTCCGCTTAGTTTGCCTCCGCCAGCTGACTGGCAATATTAGTTTCCATTGCTGCACAAACCACGGTCAATGATTGCGTCATATTACCCCTAAGCACATGTTGACGGCGCGCACCAAGAGCTTTCGATCCAAAGGTAGTATCATCATCAACATCAGTGTTGCTACTGATGCTTCACTGCCACACAACCATAAGGTTTGTCTAGTAATATATATATATATATATATATATATATTGTATTAA